TATATCATTTTTTGCAAATATACTAAATCACCCTTTTTTCATAGTGGATTCAAGGGAATATATGTGGACTAATCCAACCAAAATGTGGACCATATAAATACTTATGGTTTTGGTTGATGAATCGACAAACTGGTTACATGTTTGTTGACACACATTACTGCTAAATCTCCTGGCTGATTAAGGGCTCACCACCATACTTATCCCTTAAGGTTCGGGAGACTAGTTAATGCCGGAGAGTTTATATCGACAGTTTTTGATAAAGTATTGCACGTATTTTGGGTTTATAATTGAACATCAAATTCTCATGTTCACCCCAAATAGCATCGCCTAGCGATCATAAAATGCAATTTAAACGATTACCCAGATTTTGGTAAACGTACCAAATTTTCAGTTTTTGCCTAAGGCTATGCATTCTTGTACGCAGTTATGTTGGTTTGCCTTGGGGCCCATTACCACCCAACCTATATGACGTTATAGTTGGTTACTAGGTACGAACCTGATGTTTTTCGTATTTACGCATTTGGGTGTGCATTCCATCTGCCAAGTTGCGCCACCACAACGTACCAACATAAGTCATCAAAGAATGATGTGAATCTTTGTTGATCATGACTCTCCTTCACACTAGCTCTCTTAGAGCCCTTGCATGCGATCTCTTTACCGCTTATTTGCGGGTTGTCACTTCAATGAGATAATTTTCCCGCTGTTAGGGAGAGATAAGAATGTCAACGTTCCTGTAGAACAGCGTGAATTTACATGGATGTTACCCACTATGTCTCATCTCGATCCCCGTATCGTACCTGTATGATAAGTAAGTGTGATGAAATTCTAGCTTTCAAAGTGTTGCTCCAGACACATTCTTCTGATCTAGCTAAAGTGACGAGATCATATACTAGCTGCAAACATGCCTGCAAGGATAGATGTACTTAATGGACATTGAGTTAACATCCTTGAAGGGTTTGTCGCCCCTGTTGGGCGGTTTAGACGCCCTTGTTGGACGATATCCAGTACACCGGTGGATAACCAATCAATCTATCTTGGCCTGGAGCATGACATATCACTCGGTTCGTAGGATTCACTTTCCTAGAATAGGAAAACATGGCACAAAATGAATCTATACTTGATTGTTGTCTCAAATCATTTCCATCCCATGAGATTAATCCGGATTACTCCCAAGACTTGAAGTTCTTGGTCTAGTATACTGGTTTGGGTGAGCTAAATGGAATTGAAATGAGATTATCATCATTGATGTTTTCACTTATATGGTAGCTACCGACATAAATGAAAAGCAACTGTGTTTAGTTGATTAAGTGATAATGTAGAACTGATTGGACAACCAAAGTTACAATCCAGGTCAAATTCCTTACCAAAGTGTGTTTTGGACCTATCATTCCTACACTGCCCAAGGTAACCCCATTGTGTTACAAGTGGGAAATGAAGTATTATGAGATGAATGGAATAAGTGTGATATGATGCATGCCTTACGGCGCAAGGTTTCTCTCAAACGTCCTGTGATTGATAACATCATGGTGAAATGTGGTTAGTGTTTTCTCCATGGGGATATAGATACATAGATTTACAGGTAAGTTCCCTAAGAATTACATGGACTAGTTCAAATAGTTCCAAACCACGAAACACCTTCTTAACTTGTTTGAAGTGTTCACTTACAATCTGACGGATATGGTAAACCCGTCTAAGTGATTATTTGATCAGTTAGGGATGAATTATGCCCTTGCGTGTTAAACTATGAAGTCTTATTCCAAATTGCTAGAGTTACAGTTTATGTCGTTGACATGAATCTCACTAAGACTCTGGAAGAGCTTGAGAAAACTGCCCCGCACCTGAAGATGAAATTTGAGATAAAGGATCTTGGGAAACTCGTTTTTACCTTGACTTAAGGTGAAACTCGTTTTTACCTTGACTTAAGGTTGAAGCATTGTTCTAACAGTATTTTGGTCTACCAGTCGAACTACACCCTGAAGGTGTCACCTGAGTATACCTTTGATCGTCCATATGTTATATGCAAATGAAACCCTTGAAGAGGTTATGGAATCTGAAATTCCATATCTAAGTTCAACTTTGCGCTTCGTTGTACTTAGCTTATTGTATTTAGACATGACATCTCATTCGATGTTGATCTTGGTAAAGATGCAGCATCGTGCCTACACACATCCACTGAATTAGTATTAAAGACATACCCTGAAGGTACTACGAGGGCAAATCCCAACGCATCTCAAGTGGATCCAACCCCTCTAATCCTTGAAATGATTCTTGTCTTGTTTGTTATGCTGACGCATGTTACTTATCAAACCCGCACAAGGCAAAATCCCAAAATGGTTATGTCTTTACTGTTAGGGATGTCGTAATATCTTGGAGGTCCATGATATGACCTTAGTTGCGAAATCTTCGAATCATTCCAAGACTCACCTCACTTCACTATGCCACAAGTGAGACATGGTTAGGAGTTCTTGTTGAGTATTTCGAAGTACTTGCTATTTTTCATCCATCGTTGAGTCCCAACAACGATCCATGAAGATTATGCCGCATATATCAACCTGACCAAGCTATGATACATCAACAAAGTTAACACCAAGACATATTGCATCTACATCAGCAAGGCATCAGGATATTGAAGTTATATAAGCCGATCCCAGACAACCTTGCCTACCTCTACACGATGTCACTACCGAAGTCAACCTTCCAAAAGCTTGTCCGAGGAATTTGTATGCCTAACTATTCATATGCAATGCTTGTAGTTATCATTTAGAAGTTATGTCAAACTCAGGGGGAGTATCCAGAAGTATACTCACTTGATTTTAATGTACTATTTTTCCCTATGATTAGGAGCATTTTTCCCACTGGGTTTTTGCTACCTAACTATGTTTTAACGAGGCACCCATCCTGGGCTAATCATATCCTTGTGAGCCCTTCTACTTGCGTCTAAAAGACGTATAGTTTTGACTTAATGCAACTTTTTACTTTTCTCCTTAGTCTATGAGTTTTTCTCCCACCTTGAGTTTTACCATAGCGATTTTTTGTGAGTTTTACCTTTTTATGCATTCTTCCGTTGATTTGAGACTCGCATTTGCTCATTGTGCCGACGACTTCATCAACTGTACTTACTTCATCGCTGAAGACCTACTGCACCATTTGTTTGAGTATTTACACACTCAAGGGGGAGTGTTGCAGTCCTATTGGAATATGAATGTGATTATGTAAATCCTAGTATATCTAGGAATATCTCTTATATTCCTATTAGGAGTTGATTACCTATTAAGAGTTGTAATCCTAAAAGGTAAAGAATTAACCTTCCATACTACTATAAATAAAGGCAAAATAGGATATAATAGAATACAACCACAATTACACATCTCTCTCATCTCTCTACTATTGTTGCACCTTTCTCTCTCTCTATGGTTTTCATAATCGTTCAGTAATTATGTCTACAATGAGTACAACTATTTTTATGCATTTTTTATCAAGAAAAAAATGTATGTTCTCGAAATCCACCTATTGTGCATGCATAAATGTGGTTAGCAATTCTAGCATAATTATCAATTTAATTTAAGAGAAAGGAAGGAAGGAAAGCAAGAAATAATGTTTATTGACTGTAACCTTGTTATTTTCAGATTTTGATCAAAGTCCCTAACATTAATGTAATAATGAATTTACATGTCAGTTACATAATTTTTTTTAAATAAAAATTAATAATTGATTTAGAATTTTAATATCACATCTTTATTAAACTCTTAATTAATTTTCAATTCAAAATATTTCCAAAATAAATAAAAAAAATTAGAATAAATTTGTACCCATTAGCATTTTTTAAAAATGTTTTTAATTTTTTTAATCTTATATGTACTGTAATTTTTTCTGTAATAAGCCTATTTAGCTGAATTAGGGGAATAGAGAGAGGGAGGCCGGTGGTAATAAGAGAGAGGGAGGCCGGTGGTAATAAGAGAGAGGAGAGATTTAATTGTGAGGTGGGTAGGGGTAGACCTGGCATTCGTGTCGTGTTTCTCGTATTCGTGTCGTTTTTGTGTTATACCCGATAGCTTAACGAGTCGTGTCGTGTAATACCCGTTAAAGTAAATGGGTAATATGATCTGACCAGGAATTAACCCGTTAATATTATTGAGTAATATGACCCGACCCGTTACTCGTTAAGAAAAATATATTTTAAATCAATAAAAATGAAAATGAAAAACATAATTTGAACAAAAACAATGTAAAACATAATAATAAATTAGTATATACATACTAAATTTCGGAGTTGACCCATTCGTGAAAGTTATAAAGTTTTTCATTACGAGTGATTACATTTTTCACACTTCTACAATAATTATTATTAATTTTATTAATTTTGCACTCAAATAAAAAACATTGTTCATGAGATTTAGAGGGTTTTAAAAATCTAAATGACCATGTAACCATCGTCTAAGTGTTGAGGATGCAATTATGAACGTTTATTATGCTTTCACATCTTTCAGACTTATACATTAATGATTATGAATTTTGTTTATTTTGAACCCCTATAAAAATACTATTCGTGAGAGTTTGTATGGTTTTAAAAATTCACACGATCATATACCCATCCTCAAAGCGTAGAATATGCGACTACGAGTGTTTGCATATTTTTTTGCACATGTAAATTAATTATTATAATTTTTTAATGTGTTTGGTCTTTTTAAATTACTTGATATTTTTATTTTTAATGTGTTTTATGATTTTTAATCTCAATCTTTACCTATAATATACTATATAAATAAATAAATATAACTTCAATTTTAAAATTTATATAAAATAATAATTAATAAACAATATATACATTATTCATTATATCTATTGTATTTTATAGTAAGTTTTTTTTAATAGTTTAAAAAATTAAAATCATCAAAAAAACTTTTTTTCTTATCGTGTCGAAACAGTTACTTGCGTGTCACTCTTGTGTAACTTGTTAAGGACCGTTATTAACGGATATTATCGAGATAGAGAGTCAAAGGGAGAGGGAGACAGAGCGACAGAGAGAGAGAGAGAGAGGGTGGTTCATTTTCCATTTGCTTCCTGAAAGTCGAAGCTCCAATTGCATCCATTGTCATTTCGATTTGGGAGAGCGTGGTTGCTGTCGGTGAGATTGAGGGATGGGTGTGAGATTCGGTGAGGGGAAAGGTTACAGGGAGAAAGAGAGACAGGCAGAGAAAGAGGGAGGACTGGGGTGAATAGGTCCCCATATGGACAAATCCATGCTCAGAACTAATTTAGGGTTAGAGTTCTGAAATTAAATTTCTCCCCAATTTGCCCTCTCTCTTAAATCACCATATCCAGGTAAATCCTAATTGTAGATCAGACTTCTATTACAATTTGCTTTCTTTGTGAAATTTTATTGTAATTTACACTAAAGTCTCTGGCTTTTGAAATTCTATATGAAATTGTGAACGTTGTTCGGAATCGAGTCCGGCCAAGTTCTTTGCTAAATAGTGCGAAAATATGCATGATGGAACTAAATTACTTTTGTATCATCTACATTTACCCGTTATCATAACAGGATTTAAAATATAGAAACATACTGCTTATAGGATATGAAGGTTGAAGTCATTTAGTTCCAAAGATGCCATAACTAATGTGTCATTGAGTGAAATGCCAGTTTACAAAGATATTGTGCTTATTTGTTTTAGGGGGATTACCAAAAGGAGCTCATAAAGCATTCTGCGAGCATGATCGACCTTGATCATTTGGATATTTAAAGGAGCCATTGATAAAGGGAAGACGACGAGTTGTGAACCTGTGTGCCAATTTTGCAGACAAGCAGAAACTCTGACACAGTGATCAAACAGGCTTTCATGTTGGCGTATTTTGATTAATAGCTGTGAAACCCATTGTGTGTCGCACCATGTAAGGAAATGGAATTGCTCCTTTTTGAGTTCAGGTTGATTTTTTAGAGGTTTTTGTATATATTGCTAGAAACTTTGTCTACTTATATATGGTGGTTTACGTTTCCATTGGTGTGACACTGGAATCTTATTATTTGTTGTAGGAAATTCCGTTTCTGTATTTATTGTAGAATATTTCCTTCGTTCTCTCCACTCGATTCGATTTCGGTGAGTTCTTAGTTGATCCTTGCTCTCATGATTTCCCAAATTGGTATTTTTGGGCGTCTTCAGTTGTCGCTTTGATCTGGAATTTCCATTTTGTTTCTTTTAATTTTTGGGTTTTTATTTTTTCTCACACATAATAATGACATTCGATATAGTTGACACTATGCATTACTTATAGAGCATTTTCTTTACTGTAAGGACCCTTTTGAATTGATTTGGTAAATGAAGTGTAGGCATAAGAACTTTGTGTTGTTTTGCAGTGATTCATGAACAGTGGAAGGTGTCGTTGCTGTAACACAAAACCCAGCTTTCAGCTATCTGCTGGCATCTCTCTGAAGGTTTGTGTACTATCTTATGTGGAATTGGGATGGTATGACTTTGAATACTTATCGTACATGAAGAAAGGAAATGTGAAATGTTGGGTTGATTAATTAATAGAGAACAAAAGCATTGATACTAGATGATTGTGTAGATTCAGTTATGTTGATTGAGTATTTGTTGGTGCATTGCAATAAGATGCATTTTTTCATAATAAGTTGATGTGGATGAAGAGTATAACATCATAGTTCTGGATTGTTGTATTTATATGCATTATATGATTCATCTGTTCTGCTTAACATGAGATATTTAGTACTAATTAGGCATTTCATTTTACAGAAGTTATTAGCATGGGGATTGGTTAATGGTATCTAACACACAATTTCGAAAAGTTGTGAGGTTTGTTGTTATACGATACATGAGTTTTCCTCATAATTTATGTGTACAATGGTTAATATTTGTAGTTATGATTGATGGTGTCCTACATATTTAGACCAAAGCAGGCCTAAAGGAACTGAGGCACTACCTAAAGGAATTATTTCCAAGGCCTCCGACTTGCTAATGCAACCGTTATGGGGTCCCCAAAACAAAAAGGTACATCGGTGTTTCTTTGTTCATTGTAGTGATAGTCTTAGATTTTTATTAGGCAGCTTGAAGAATTTGGTAATTAGGGTTGTAAGCAATCTGATTTGAGTGTTGATATATGTTCTGCACTCTTTATGTTCTAGAACTCAAAGTCATCAACAAGCTTATTGGCCATTGCAGTTGGATTAAAGTAAGTAAATTGTGATCTTTTTTTTTCCTCAACTTCAATACACTGAAACATTATCCTCTGACAATGTATTAATCCACCATCTGTTACTTGTGGGAATCCAGTCTGTTTTGTGTGCTTTCTGCTATAATTGTTTTCCTTACAGCCCTTTTATTGATTGTTTGCAGCCCTTATATTTGTTATTTATACATAAAATACCTCCTGAATGCTCACATTAAATAGTTAAAACTTCTAATTTTCTCATTATTGTTTCTTCCTTATATATTCGTTACATGTTTACACTATTGAAAATTGTGACCTGACATAGAAGTGGATTTTGACATGATTTGTGTTTTTACATCTGCAGTATCATGTTGGCATTATTGCTTACGTATGAATGCAAGTCAATTTTACATCTATCTAACGCCTTTAATTGTTAACTCTGCATTTTTCAATGTTCACTAATGCCTTTAATTGTGCTCTGTTTTCAATGTTCACCACTCAATATTGATTCATGTGTTAATCGAGGGCATACGAAGTGCATGTGAAAGTCTATTGCTCCTGCAGCCACAATTGTTCCTTCCTCCGCAATTTCCTCAGTGTTACCTAAAGTGATAAAGAAGGTATAAGCACATTTTATCAACTTCCTATAAATTTTCTTCCAGAAGACCTGCTGCATTGTGAGATGATATTGACCCCAATTATCATATTTTCACCATTTATGATTGCCCCATAGAGTACCACTGTAATTGTGAATGTTGTTCTGTTAATTAAATGCTTAATAAATTTTGTAAAATAAAAAAAAAATTGTATATGGTTCCCACAGATTTAGAGTGTGCAAGAAGCTAGGAAAAGGAATTTGTATACATTGTTCATTCATTTGATTTTGCTAAATATTAATTTTACTGTAATTGTTTGCTTTGTGTTTTAGGTTTTTGGAATTTTGATGTTTGGTGGTTATTTTGTGTTTCGATTAAAACATTTGGTAAACTGTGACCGTTGGTGCATGATCTCAGGATTCCAAATATAGTTCTCAATTTATATTTTGGGATCCACTTCATATGCCAATACATTTTGTAATTAGGATCAAAGAAATTAATTGCTAATTTTTAGGGTTTTGCATAACCTGATTTCTGAGTTCGACTCTACAAATAATTATAAAATACAGTATAACCTGATTTCTTAGTGGTTTGGATTTATGTGATCTCATCAGCTCATGGTTTCTTTGTGTTGAGCAGAAAGCTTGGGAAGTTGCGCATGTCCCATTCAAGAATTTGGCGGTGATGGTTTCATGATGTGGATGGTTGGGAGTATAGTGCATTTGTTTAGCATTGGAATCACATTTTCCGCTCTTTGGCAACCCATAATCACCTTACATGGTGTAGGGAAGGGTAAATGATTCTTATTCTGTTTATCGGTCTGTATGTGTTTCATTCTCCACTTCAATTCCTTTGTTTGGTAGTGTTATATATTGTATTTATGCAGTATTGACTAATGCTTAAATTAGATGCTAAAAAAGGTCTTTATCTTCTAAATCCTTAGCTTGCTCTACCTTGAATATGTTTCAAGTTCTTTTATATAAGATTTTCCCTTATGAAGAAGTGAACTAAATAGCGTGATTCTTATATTTCTTAAGATTTGGTTCCCCAAAATGATTGTGACGGTGATGAAAAATGTTTCTTATGTGATTTTAAGAAAAAGGGTTAGATAATTTCGTAATTTTACATTTTATGAGTTTGTCAAATCTTCTACCTTAAATTTAGGTGGGGGTTCCCTTGAATGGAAATTTGAGAAAAAAGGATAAGATTTAGACATTTTATTGCTTTGAGATGCTACTTCTGAATGCATACGAGATACTCAATTCAATATGGACTTCACATGTATATAAATTTAGGTCGCTTAAGTTTTTTTTTAATTGTTTTTCTGATTTTTAACAGATTTGTACTCCGCAGTATTTTATGCTCTGAATTTTGGTAGTTCCATAGTTGGGCCATTAGGAAGTAGTGGTTGTTCAAAAGATGCACATCCATTTTTGGAATATGTGTAATTCAATTCTCTCTTTTTTCTGTAGCAGACTTGCATACTTCTAAATCGGAAAGGAAAAATAAGCACTTTAGGCGGTTCATGCAGACGGACCATGTAAAAGAAAAGCACAAGTAAAGGTTTCCATGAGTGAGTTTATAGTGCATCAATTTCTTTGCTACTTTATTTTAATGCATTCAACAACTGATTTGGTTTATTGTGAGTTTATAGTGTTCAAGCTTATTTTTGCTTGGTTGGATATGCAGTTGAATTACCAAACGTAACCAATGTTTTGATCAGTTAGTGAGAAAACAAAAATTAGAAGATTTTCTGTTCGACATCCTGCAATCAATGATTAAGGGTTTTTGTGTCATTTTGGTATAGGCATGGTTAAGGCATTGCAATTCCATCGTTAATAATTTGAAAAGCCCAGCAAATTGCTTTTTAGCAAATTCATCTAAAAAAATGTCCAGAAATTTCCATTGATTACAGCAAGAAAATGGTACTATTTGAAAGGCTCTGAATTGCTGATTGATTTATTATTTTTAAAATTTTTAGAATTTTGGGTCATTGGAGGTAGAAGTTGGTTGCTTGCTTGACATTATGAGGTGTATAATTATACACCCAATTGACTTTGATCTTTATGTTTTTAATAATTTAGAAAGAGTGGCGTTGATAATTCAGAAATATGTGTTCATGTTTACATAACAAATTCATCTTTAGAGATTTGTTTGGTTTTGAAATTCCATCAAAAGCTATGGATTTTGTGCGATTGATTTTGTGAGGGAGATAAGGCACAACCTTCTCCATTGGTGGATTATTATCTATCCTTAGTCTGAATGCATCAGCAAACATTGTTTGATCCACCACCAAGTACAATTACTGAAATCATATATAATAGAGAATTTATTTACTTTTTGATGAACATATTAGAGAATTCCTAAACATGCTAATAGAAAACACTCTTGATAAGCACTAGAGAATGACGTGATAGATATTTCAGGTCTTATACATTTAGTTAGTTGCTGGTGATTTTGTCACTAGAAAACTCAATGGGTGACATCTTGGCTTGCCAATAGACATGTGATACACTTTTTTAAGACTAAGAGTATGTTCTTATTTATGGTTGGAGCATTAGTAGTGGTTTTATCTAATTTTAAAGGATCATTTGTTTGGATGAACCTTATCCGTGTGGTGCTAGGTCATGGTGGGTACAAGAAACGAAATAGAACTGTTTCTTCCTTATGTATAAGTGTGCTGATTTAAGATATTGTTCTTTGTTTGTTTTGCCACGCCAACCTTGAAATCTGCAATTCTTTGTGATGGTTCAATTACAAATTTTGATTCCCGGATGAGTGGATTTGATATTGGCGCTTGCTTAGAGGTAATTTCTAATATAATTTTCTTTCAAACCCATATTTAGAAAGTTCTGCCACATAAAACCTGTAAATATTCATAGTTGCACAGAAATCGAGTGCCCCCATTGTACTGTAATAATTGGTTTATAATGTTGCTTACTCTGATTGGAAATCATAGGTAATAGAGCATATGGAGGAAGGTCAAGCATCTGAGTTTGGCAACGTGGTGCCAAGCATATGGACTTGAGTGGTGTTGATGATGAGGAATTTTCTAGACCTTAATGACCTTAAGGCATTGGTGCTTGATCATGTTCATGAGCTATTTTTCAAAGGGGTTTCGTTGCGGCTTATTAGTTTTGGTGAGAATACAACTTTGCTTTTTAGTTTTCTTCTTGATAACAATTATTTATAGTAACATTGTTGAATAAGTATCTAATTTGATATTGTTTGCATTGATTTAGGTATTTAATGAAAATGATATGAATGTGAAACATGGATAACAAAGGTGTGGATAATGGATAGTACAATGCATTGCATAGCTTTAACGTGTGTTAGCACTTTCATGATGTAGTATAGATTTCTGTTCCATATTACTTTCTCATTTCATATCATATTATGTTTAAAGAATGTGGAGTTAATTAAAATAGGAGAAAATCATTTAGAGCTCTAGGAGTTATGATGGTGTTCTGGATGTTCCAGTGGATGTTATGAGTGTTGAGTTAAAAAAAAAAAAAAAAAGCCTTCTTTGGATGAGTTAGAATATAATTGATATACATGGAAGAGTAGGAATATAACTACCAGGACAAAATGTTAAGCCTGCTCTCTTTCAACCTTAAATATATTCTCTTTTCTATTTGACAATTGTTGAATATTTTAATTTTTTGCTTTGCCTGCATGTTGATGCAGGTTTGTTCTTTGACATTTTTTGGGGCAAGTGATTTGTTGAGTTGGGATTTTTGTTGGGGTAAACGATTTGATGTTGGTTTGTTCATGTTGTAAGTAGTAAAATCACAAAAGATTGTATATTGTAAGTCATTTTAATGGTAGATTGTTACTAGCCTTATCTAATTGCTAAAGTTTTAATTTTAATTTTTTTTTTCTGAGCTAAGCATTTGGCTACTGGATTGCATGAATCAATATTTAAATAACTTCTTGGATAAAATTATTCTTGCCTTTTATTTTCTTTTTGGGATTTCTTTGGTGCTTAATTTGTTTGTTAATCTTTGAATGTGGAGAAGATTTGTTACTTCTATTCAAATAGTCGAAGAAGAATAGAAGATTGTTTCATTTTTTTGGCTTTGAATGAGAATTTTCAAATTTAAGCCTCGTCATATCCTAATGAGGGCATGTGCCGATATATATCCTCATAGTCAAAATATATGTCCCGTCACTACATCATGAGGTGGTTTTTGCAACTTGACTTGCTTATTGTTCAGGACTGACAACTGTGATAGTAGAGTTTAGCAGATTCTCTTATTTACGTCTGAATATCAAATTATGAAAGAAATATTTTGTTGCAATCAATATAGTAATGAATAATAAGTCATATAATGATTTCTAACTATATTTTTTGAACAGTTTATTGTATCATATAGGAAAAATGAAAAGGGAATATGAGATGATATTGAAGAAGGCCTTGCAAAGCATCTGCTTGATTCAAATATCACAACCTCAGTTATTGTTTAGGTGAGGTTTTCTATTTATATGAAAATCCTTGAATCCTTTAATATTTTAGGCATTGTGTCAGCAACTTGAGATGATTGTAAGCAGTACACATAGCGTTGATACCTTTTACATTACATGCATATTTGTTTCGTTGGAATTAAACTTGCAATATACAAACTTATGCCAAGGAAAAGTCAGGGCCTTTGGAGTCTGATATTCTTTGTTAGAGTTTCTATTACAAAATTAAGGAGCTATCCTAATGAGGGCATGTTTGGAGGTCATTTGCTTTGGTTGGTTGGAGTTTCATCCTTGCAGCTTGCTTCATTGGCTCTTAGGTATTACGTCTTTTTAGTTCATTTGTTTGTTCATGATTATGTTGAATTTTTTTCAGGTTAAATGTGTCTTATTCATATAGTTAAAGCTAGTGCATTCAAGTCCCGCAGCAATGCGCGGGCATATTACTAGTTAACTACTAAAGGAAATATTCAAAGATATCCCTAGATACACTAGAATTTACACAATCACATTCTTATTTTAAATATGAATGCAACACTCCCCCTTGAGTGTAAATACTCAACAAAACATCACATCAGATCTTCAATAGATAAGGTAGAACAATTGATGAAGTTGGCGACACAACGGGCGAATGCGAGTCTCAAATTTAAAGAAAGTATGTATTGGTAATAAAACTCACAAAATCTCGCTATGGTAAAACTCAAGATGGAAGAAAAACCCATGATTAAGGAGAAAAATGAGAAGTATGCATAATGTCTAAAATAAACATCAAACAGGACGAAAGTAGTAAACTCAATGTAGTATAATCATCCCAGGATGGGTGCCTCATCAAAAACTCAATAGGTAGCAAAAATCCAATGGGAAAAATGCTCATAATTGTAGGAAAAAGAGTACATTAAGATCAAGTGAGTATGCTTCAAGAATAAGAGAAATACAAGCAATTCAACTCAGATAATTTACGCATATCGATTCCTTGGACGAGCTTCTGAAAAGTAGACTTGGGCAATGACTTGGTAAAGAGATCGGGCAGGTTGTCCTGGGAACATATTTGCTTAACTTCCATCCGAACAATGCTTGATCTCCAGGCTGAAACAATATCGAGTTTTCCTAAGATCTTTCATCTCAAATTCCGATTTCAAGTGAACAATAATTTCCTCAAGCTCTACAGGAGTTCCAATGAGGCTCATGTTATGGACATAAACTTCAACGATCGCAAATCCAAAATGTGACTTCTTTATGAACATGCATGGGCATAATTCATTGTTCACATAACCCTAACTTGTCAAATATTCTCTCAAACAGTTATACCACATCCGCCTGGATTGTTTCAATCCGTAGAGTGATCTCTCAATCTAATATAGAGTGTTCCGTGGTCTAGAATTATTTGAACTAGTCAATGGAAGTCATTCTGGAACTTTCATGTATATTTCATTATCTAGATAACTATAGAGATACACGGTTACCACGTCCATAAGCTGCATATTCAGTTTTCAGAAACTACCAAACTAATTAGGTAGCAGAACGCTATAACGTCCATTACGGGGGAATATGTCTCCTCGTAATCAATCACAGGGTGCTAAGAGAAGCCTTGAGCTACGAGGTATGCTTTGTATCACACTATTTCATTATTCTAATTACGCTTCCTCACGAAAACCCACTTGTAGCCCACGGGCTTCACATGTGGTGGAGTAAGAGCTACAGGTCCAAACACCTTACGTTCGCAAGCAAATCGAGTTCGACCTGGATTGCTTGTTTCCAGTTTGACCAATATGTTCTATGTCAGCATTCATCAACGGAACATGGTTCAATGTCATTGATAAGCATGATGTACGCAAATGCATCATTGACGATCATCTCATTCTGATTCCAAACCTTATCCAATACTGCGTAGTGGACCGAAATCTCGCGATTCTTGGGAGGTTGGGTTGTCTCGTCTAAGATATCATTGTAATCTAGAATAACCTTATGTGTTGGAACATATGAGTGAGTAATGGTCGAATTCAAACTAGGTTCAATTGTCGGTGTTTATTTCCTCTTCCAGGGTTGTGAATCATTTGAACCAAGGGGTTTGCCACGCTTCAGGGTCGGAATTGATGATTGGCTAGCCGCTAAAGTACCATGTAGCGTGGAAGTTGCGACCTCCCCATCTTCGAGGATGGTCTAGCCTTCCTAGGCGGTGTTACGACATATGCGAGGTACGCTTATCCTTGCAGGTGCATTTGCAGCGGGTATATGTGATTTTGTCACCTTAGTTAGATCAATAAAAGCATCTAACATGCTCTGAGCTATACTCTGAAGATCTATAATTTGTCGCACTTCAGTTTCAGATAAAGCAGTACGGGGATCTAAATAAGACATAGTGAGAGCATACCACGATAATTTGTGGCGTTCTCCAAGAACGTTAGCATGCTTATCTCCTCTTAACGACGAGAAGAATGTCTAATCAAAGTGACAATCCGCAAAACGTGCAGTAAAGAGATCTTCTGTCAAGGGCTCTAAATAGCGAATCATAATCGACATAGATTTCCATTTTTCTCTAAGGACCCAGTTTGGTACGTAGTGGCGACGCTATTGGCACATAAACTACGCACCCAAACACACGTAAATGCGAGACGTTAGACTCGTATCCAGTAACCAATTGTAACAGTGAATGAGGTTGGGTAACGGTGGGAGCATAGCTGCGTGTAATATTACATAGCCCTAGGCAAATACCGGCAGTTTTGTTTGTATAACCAAAGTCTGAGTTATCAATTAAAGGCGCTTTATGAAAGCTTCTGCCATGTTGTTTTGGGTGTGAACATGGGGTACAGGATGTTCCATTTCAATCTCTACTGACATGCAATAATCGTCAAAAGGCTGTGACGTAAACTTTCCAACATTATCCAGTTGAATAAACTTGATCAGATAATCAGGATGGTGTGCCCTTAGCTTAATAATTTGTGCTAGGAGTTTTACAAATGCAACGTTACGTGTGGACAATAGGCAAACATGTGACCATTGTGTCGATGCATCAATCAACCCCATAAAGTATCTAAATGGTCCGCATGTTAGTTGGATAGGTCCACAAATATCTCTTTGAGTCCTTTGAAGAAACTTAGGAGGGTTGTGAATAATCTTTGTAATCGATGGTTGAGTATTCAATTTCCCCAAAGAACACGCTTTGCATGGCGGGAATCCAACTTAGGGAGGTAAATGATGCATATGTGATGATTTAAGGATATGACGCATCATGTCACATCCGGGATGTTCCATACGATCATGCCAAAGCATCAAAGTGCTCTGGAAATCAGGGCCGGCCACATGGTGGGGTTCTATGTCGCGAATGGTTGTTATGTATAACCCATTTAGAAGATGTTCCAACTTCTCGTGAATACGTTTCTGGCCATACTCGTAAGAAGTGATACAAAAAAGTTCATAATCATTATCTTCAATGGGTTTAATATGATATTGATTATCGCGAATATCTTTAAAATTCAGCAACGTTCATCCAGAACGTGGAGAATAGATGACCTCTTTAATGGTTAAGACAATATCGTTGGACAACATGATACATGTATTTCCGGATCCTTCAATCAGGTTGGATGAGCCTAAAAGAGTTGTCAGATGTGCATTTTTAGGTACAAAGTTAGTAAAATAGTGTCGCTCGCGCAATATGGTATGCTTGGTAGCACTATTAGCTAGACAACTAACTTCCCCACTGGACATACTTAGAAATAAATTGATTGAATTGGTCACATGCATAAATATAATTCCATTCATTTAATAAATCAATTCGAGAAATAATATTCATAAAACAATTATCCAAAATTCAAAACAACCAAAACCAAACAAATTATTTCAAATACTTAGAAAAATTAAACCATAAACCTAGAAATTAGAGGGGGTCTGACCACTCCTAGTGGGTTCGGCCACTAAGTGCAAAACACCCTTGAAACATGTCTAGAAGAATAAAACTTATTCATCTATAGGAGCTGATGCTTCCTGAAAATCTGATATCTCCATGGATGTAGTAGCATCTTTGGGATGATCCATATTTGCAAAGTTAGACTTACTATGGGAATGATACTTGGTAATGGCCTTAAGGGTAGCTCAGCATACGTGTGACCAATGATCTTTTGATTCACAGCAGTAGCACATGTCCATTTTAGTGGAACTTGATTGAACGGTAGTTTTTCCCTTGTTCTTGAAGTTTAGGGCCTTAGGGGCAAGGGGTTGGCGCTTCTGGGTCAAATTTCCTTCCTTGGGTGGGACTTGATTCTATTGACCTTGGGCTCATGGTGGGGCTTGCCGCTCATTGCCATGGCCACAACGATTTTTGTGTCACTTGTGGCTATTAGAATTGATCGTATCGCTTTAGGTGCAACGTTCGAGCCAATGGGTCGAGCTTGATGATTCTTCATCAAAAGCTGGTTCTACTTTTCAGCGAGAAGTAAAACAGAGATCAAATCCAAAAATTTGGTGAACTTATGTGCCATATATTGTTTCTGTAGGACAATATTGGTGGCATGGAAGGTAGAATAAGTCTTCTTCAAGAAATCTGATTCGGTTAAGTCCACTTTATAGAACTTAAGTAGTGATTGGATTCTACAAACTTCAGAGTTATATTCATTCATGGACTGAAAGTCTTGGAAGCGTAGATGCTGCCAGTCGTGTCTTGCTTTAGGCAAGTAAATGTCTTTTTGGTGATCGAAACAATTTGCCAGAGTAAGTCAGAGGGTGTTTGGGTCCTCCTCAGCAAGGTATTCGGTCTGCAGTGCATCATGGATGTGTCTTCGAATGAAGATCATTGCAATAGCTTTCTGAGCTTCATCGACGGGTTTGTCGTCGGTAGGTGCCTCGATGGTGGCTGGAGCTTCACGTCTTGAACCCACTTTAAGTAGTTTCTTCCATATACTTCCAAAGCGGTGAAATCAAGCTTGTTCAAGTTCGACATGTTCCTAAAACGGAGGGTACGAAACAACGTAGTTAGTCAAATGGTAATCCATAGACACATATTGTAGAATATTCAGGTTCTATAGACATGTATTGGTTTAATTTATGCAGGAAAGCTACAAGTTTCATGTAAGTTTTGAATGAAAACTTCGGATTTTAAGGGCACTAAATATGAAACTACAGGTTCAATTTAGTTTTATGAACGATTTGTTCATAAATGAGAGGTTCCTGCAAGAGCACAGAATGCAATATGCTGATTTAAGTGTAGTGGATTTAAGTTGCTTCGGGAACTCAAGTGTGAGAGCTTCGGGACTACGAAAGGATGTCAACGGTTCAAAGTATAAAAATAAATTATTGAATCGTTAATATCCAAAAGTGATCTTTAGGTCAATAATTTTGGATTAATCATCAAATTAATGGAAATGTAGGTCACTTTTAATTAATTCAATAGATCGAGAGCAAATGGGGTCGATCATGGAAGTAAAATAATGACAAATGGGTCATATTAGCTTCAATTGGTGATAAACCAAGTGATAATTAAATTAGAATTAATTAGCGTAAACCAATGTACCCAAAAAAAACAAAAAAAATTGAGCATGATTTATAACTCAGGAATGCCAAAAATTGTCATCTGGTCGAAAAAATAACATTGGAGTAGGCCCTACAATTCGTCTGCAGGCTGACTAGGTCACGGGAGAGTTGCAGGCCTTTGGGCTGTGTGTTTTGGGGAGCCCAGCAGTAGAAGCTGTTGGTTTTTAGGCCGAAAACTAGGCACGTGGCAAGCCCAGCCCAATGCTGGCTTACGGGTTGGTGTGGGGAAGGCCAGCCGAAGCTGGGTTTCGAGTTTTTGGGTTGGGGCAGGTCAAGCCTAGTAGCATAAGGCTACTGGTGAGTGGGCCGAAGCCCAGTAAGCAAAAAGGGCTACTGCAAGCAGGCCTATCATGGGGCAATAGAGGCCCAGCAGCATAGGGTTGTTTTAGATGGGCCAGGGACGCGCGAACAGATAGGTGCCAAGGTGGTGTGGTGACTGTGCCGCACAATTCCTAAAATTATATATATATATATACATACTATTTTTTCGACATATGTAGGGTTTGAAAAACCCTAAAGTGTTTCTAATTTATTTATATGCTTTGACTCCCAAATTCCACATAGCAATATAATTGTGTAATGCATGACACACAAACACACACACACACACACACACACACACACACACACATATATATATATCGGAAGGAAAATATAAACATATAGGGGTTCATGCATCATGGGAAATGTTTTCATGCTTCGTGAACGTTTCAAAAATCTTCATTTATTTTAAGTGTACCTGATTGGCAGAAAACAAAGAAAAGCCTTTGAATTTTGTAGAAGAAAGCCTCCTCCTACGATCCTTCCGTTCCTTAGCTTCTGGCAAACGTGTGCTGATAACGTGTTATAGGCTTATTTGACTGAACTATTCTAGGGGAATAGAGAGAGGGAGGCCGGCGGCAATAAGAGAGGAGAGATTTAATTACGAGGTGTGTGTTGTATCATCCCATTGTGCCTTTATTTATAGTCGTATGATAGGTTAAATCCTTACCTTTCTAGGATTACAACTCTAATAGAATTTTAACTACTAAAGGGAATATTCAAAGATATCCCTAGATACACTAGGATTTACACAATCACATTCTTATTCTAAATATGACTGCAACATTTTCAAATTTTTAATCTTAAAATGTACTTATTCTTAAATATACCAATTTGTTATATGTAAAATGTACCCTTTTTTATATAAATCTATTCATTTTTTCCTTTTTGATTTGAGAATGTATCAATGTCAAGTTTAATTGAAGAAATTTACTAATGTTATTAAGCCTAATATCTTCTTCTTCTTCTTCTTTTTATTTTTTTATTTTTTTTGTTTTTTTTTGTGATTTTGAGGAATGTACCCATGTTTTGGTATAATAATTTTTTGGTTAAGTTTGATGATTGTACCCATGTTTACACACACACAATAGTATATTTATATTTTAATATTTTTAAGATCACAAATTATGGTTTTTTATTTAAAATCTCATTAATATAAACAACTATAACTTTCAATTTTTAATTTAAAAAATATAGTAACATATATAGAAATAAATTATCACATTAATTTCAGAGATTTCGATCAAAAGTTGAAAACCAACAAGGTTTCAGTCAAATAATACTCATAGTTAAAGATTGCATCCAAAATCTCCTTTTTTTTTTTTAATTTGGAATAAATACATAACTGATTGAAGCCTCCCTATACGAGTCGTACATATTCATTAAACCTTATTTTTCACTTTACACAATAAGAGTGCTGATATATATAGTGCTATTTATTTGGATCATATAAATAATAATAATATATAAAAACTAATGCATGCCAGCATCAGGGTTCAAGTTTCAACATGCAGAATAACTTCGTAGTTAATTGCCATGTAAAACCATGAGGTAGTACGTTTAAATACACTGTCGTTCAGCAGAACAGTAGAGGTGAAGAGGAAGGCGTGGAGCAAGAAAAGCGTCAAGTGGATTTTCTTTCATAAGGGCAAGACCCACCCTTTCACGCATATCCACCGGCTCATCACCCACTCTGCTCATATCAAACCCCTGAACCAAACGAGCCAGAACCAACTGAACCACATGCAACCCTAGTGTCGCACCAGGGCACAACCTTCTGCCCGAGCTAAACGGAATGTACTCAAAACCCTTGAAATAGTCCACGTCAGCATGGTCGGTCATAAACCTTTCAGGGTGAAATTCACAAGGGTTGGCCCACACGCGCGGGTCCCGGTGCAATTTCCATAAGTTGACCACTATACGGGTGCCTTTGGGGACGAGGTAGCCAGAGAGATGAGTGTCTTCCATGCCCTCGTTGACGGTGATTGGGATAGATGGGTATAAGCGTAGGGTTTCTTTGACAATGGCTTGGAGGTATTTGAGGTTTGGGAGGTCGGATTCTTGAACCCATCTATCCCTTCCTACGCTGATGTCCAGTTCTTGTTGGGCAGATTTTAGGGCACTTGGGTGGTTGAGTAGCAAGGAGAGTGCCCATGTTACTGCAATAGATGTGCCATCTGTGCCACCTATGATGAGAATCTGCCAATTGAGGAAGAAAAAACAAAATAGAGAAACAATGTTTCTAGAGATTAATACTTGATTTGGAGGGATGACGAAGTGAGGGATGCAAATATTAGCATTATTAGACGTCAAACTGTTCGATCATTTCGATAACTGTACGTGTGGCGAAATGTTAAAATTAGCCTATTGAGTTTTATAGGTGGGCCCGCATTACGCCACAACTCAGTTACCGAAGGACCCAAATAATGTAAAGCCATAGTGTGACTTCAATGGTTAATTAACAGTTTAATATCTCAAGTAATAACTTGAACATATTTCTTTGAATAGTTTGGCCTCTTTTCAAAGTAACTCAAAGCTCAAGGGAGTATTTTATAATTAACATGTATTATCCATGGATATTATATGTCTCGATCCATCATATAGACAATATATTTATATCATTAGATAGAACTTGCATTGTGTGCGTGGGGCAGATCTGTAGCACCACAAAAAACACAAGTTTTGACACAATTCTTAGGCCATTAGATGTATATATTTATAATGGTTTAGATGTAATCTAATTAGTCTAATTAATTTTCTTTATTCAAATAATTATGAATTGGGAATAAAATTCTAAAATCCTAATTAAGAATTTTATTTTCTTTTTCCTATTTAATCTCTCCTTTCTCCTTTGACTCTCTCTCACTCTTTATAGTTCATCCTATTCCGTGTTTAATCAAAGAGTTAAGATATTGAAATGTAGATATCTTGGGTGGATTCATACTCTAACATCATGTGCTTATGTCTCACAATGGATTAGCAATAATGTGGTTCAAATTCGCTTATTCGTTTTTTGCGAGAATTGAACTTAAGACGTCTCACTTATAAGTGAAGAGAAATACCACTACACCGTGGTGCTAAGTGACATTATATGAAAATTATTATGTATGTGTAAGTTTGTAATAGCTAATAACGTAGTGTTACAAGTTTACGATACACACACACACACACATGTGTGGGGCGGATTTGTAGTGCCACAAAAAAATACAAGTTTTGACACAAATCTTAGGCCGTTAGATGTATACATTTTTAATGGTTGAGATGTAATCTAATTAGTCCAATTAATTTTCTTTATTCAAATAATTATGAATCGGGAATAAAATTCTAAAAACCTAATTAAGATTTTTTATATTCTCTTTCCTATCTCATTATTTAATTGTTTTTCATTAGTATCTCCTTTCTCCTTTGACTCTCTCTCCCTCTTTGTCGTTCATCCTATTTCGTGTTTAATCAAAGAGTTAAGATATTGAAATGTAAATATCTTGGGTGGATTCGTACGCTAACGTTATGTGCCCATGTCGTGTTTAATCAAAGAGTTAAGATATTGAAATGTAAATATCTTGGGGGGATTCGTACGCTAACGTTATGTGCCCATGTCTCAATTCTATATAGAATAATGTTAGGAAGACAAAATTTTTAAACGAAATTTGCAAACTAAATGATGTGTCACCAATAAGAGACAAACACATTAGTCGATACTTAATTAATAATCCAATCATCTACAACCAAGTCATTTGATTTGCAAATCTGGTAGAGTGTTATTTGATATGTAATATAAACCAAGTTTAGAGTCAACTTACAAGTGATGTTGCTTTGATGACGTTATCACAGCTATGGCCAGAAATGACAGCCTTCTCTCCAAAGTTGGATATCATCGCATCCATCAAGTCACTTGCGACCCTGCTGCTATTACCGATCTTGCCTCCTGGAGAACGATGTTCGTTGAGCCAGCTGCTAAGCACAGAGTCAAGTTCCTTAAACGTATGTTTCATTGAACTCACAGGCCCAAACAAGCTGTCCAGCCATTCAAGAAATGGTATAGCATCCGACCAAACAAAATTGCCAAGGCGATGCATAGTATCCTGCATAGCCTTTTCAAAACGCCAAGCCTCACTGCCTTTCTCATTGTATTCGCGATCTGAAAATCTCTTGCCCGCAATTAGCCTCACGCTAATGTTGAACATCAAGTGCTCTACTAACTCGCTCAAACGCACCGCTACTGGTGAAGTGGCGGGAGTTATGGTGAGGCCCGATGACCCCGCTACGTCGAACAATTTCTTTATAAACGAGTCAACTTCTTCAGCTCGGACGTGACTAAGCATTTCAACTTTTTGGGCTGAGAGAAACTCCTGAGTAGCCAACTTCCGGATGTCGCGCCAGTAGGATCCGTACGGGGCTAGGGCAAAAATGGCGTTGTTGTAACCCAAGTGTTTGCCGGCTGCTGTACTCGGTCGTGTGGCGAAAACAATGTCGTTTTTTGTGAAGCGTTCTTTTACTTGTTCCCAAGCGCTCAGCACCACCACTACTTGGCGCGGACCAAGCCTGAGTGAGTAGATCGGACCGAGTTTATCTGCCATGGCGCCAAGGATTAGGGCAACAGGGTCTTTGCCATGTAGGAGATGGAGGTGACCTATGAAAGGCCATGCTTCTGAGGGTTGAGGGACTTTGGTCAATGACATGGTTTCTGTCTTCGTGTTGTTGGTGATATTGCTCTTCTTCTTTTGCTTAGTGTATACTGCGATTATTCTCAATGTACCATAGAGAACCAGCAGCAAAGCCAATATGGTGTTAATAAATTTGTAGGTTGGAGAAATGAAATCATCCATGGTGGGTGTCTGCAGTGGCGAAACTAGGAATTATCAGGAGGAGGGGCGAATTTAAGTTGAACGATTCAAAAAATGTAGATAACAAAATCCATTTAGATAGTTGACAGTGGTAATGTCGTCCATAATGTATACAAGTTACAATTGTTGTCAGTGAGTTGTCTTGTCATGAAAACATCGCAATGACTCATTATCAATAAAAGCAAATACATAGTCTTACGAAGGAGGATTACAAAGAATACTCAAAGGATGACTACTTGAAAAATTTAAAGATGAATACAAGCACTGTTTTTTATAGTATCGGTTTATTACATAACTTTACAATGAGAAAGAAAAAAAAATCTTAGACTCTTAATCCTAAAGTCTACTATGACTATTAACTAATTAAACCAACAATTCAATTAAACAATAGGCAATAATCATATAAGTTATCACTAATCAATGCATAAAAAATAGAGTAAACTGTCGATTTGCCCCCTGAACTATCACCCAACTTTCGATTTGCCCCCTGAACTTTTTAATTGGAAAATTAAGGACTTAAACTAATTTTTTTGGCCGATTTCCCCCCTATCGTTAGTTTTTCATAAATTTCATCCAAATTAACGTTAACTCTTATCATGTGCAAACCACTTAATCATGTGCAAACCACTTAACTCTCATTTGTGGACAAAAGCGTCATTTCACTAGACCTTCAGACAGAAAAGTTATAGAATCACACATATTTGCATAGGTTTATATTTTAGAAATCTAAGGTTTTCAATTATTTTAAAGAATGAAGTGACCGAACTACCCACACATGTTGTGCATATGCTTCCATTTAACAGAAATTTGGATGGAATGAATGAAAAATTAACAGCAGGGGGCAAATCGGCCAAAAAAATTAGTTTAAGTCCTTAATTTTCCAATTAAAAAGTTCAGGGGGCAAATCGAAAGTTGGGTGATAGTTCAGGGGGCAAATCAACAGTTTACTCTAAAAAATAATACATAGGTCATCAATTCAGCATTGAATGATGTTGGTTGAATGATGCAAGCTGCAGCCATTGGAGCCAATGGGAAGTCATAAGGCAGAAGACTGTGGGAACCGTGGTGTGGGGACGAGTGGTCCCCTTATGTATATTTTATTTATGTTTTTTTAATAAACCAAAACGATACCGTTCCGGTGGTCTATTAATTTTTTCAGAAGAAAAGACGACGCCATTCTATTTAAAGGCAAAACAAAAACAAACACAAACAGCCGCGCGCAGCGCAGGCTGCACAACAGCAGGGATAATCCTCAGGACTTGCAGGTTTTCCGACGACAGTAGAGGGGCGGAACATCGGTCCTAGGCTTCAATTTTTTTTCCTAGGACCAAAACGATGTTGTTTTGGCCTGGATGTTTTTTTTTTTAAAAAAAAAAAGGAAAATGCAGTATGTTGCGCGCAGAGAACACCGGACAGGAGCTGAACCAATGAGTTTTCCGGCAAGGGGAGGGGCTGATCCATAGCTCCAGTCTTGTTTTCCGGCGAGGGGAGTGGCGGCCACTCCCTCGCCCTCACGTGGCTTCGCCACTGGGTGTCTGGGAGATGTACGAGGATGAAATGTGCGTAGGACGATTCTTAGATTTTGTATGTGTACTTATAGATTTTAAGTGGGTTTATTTGAAATCATGTCAATTTTTTTAGTGTTGTTACACTCATCACATTTTTTATACCCTATTTGTATCATCTTTCTAATAAAAGTAGGACACATCAATACATATGAGTTCCATCTTCATTTGAGAGAATGTGCAAATATGACATGAAAAATTTGGAAAAAGTAGCATTTTTATAATTTTAAACTTTTCAAATCAATATTTTCAATCAAATCCACTTGCCGGTGATTCTTAGTAGATTTTTTTTTTAATGAACAAAATTTATTTTTCCAAACTAAATAAAATAAAGAGTTCTCCCTCATCTCTTATTGTAGATTTTATTGTTTGTTAAAAAAAAATAAAGAGTTATTACTTGTCGGTGTATATCTAATAGTGTAGATTTTTATGGAAGAGGATTCTCTCCGGATTCACTTTGTGGGGATCTTAGGGATCTCCACATCCTAACCGTTCATCATATATCGTGCGACCAGTTTTCGTCAGGTACTATTTGTGTTTAATTTTAAATAAAAAAATCAAATGATTTATAACCGTACAATGCATGATGAATGGCTAAGAATATAAAAATTCTTAGAATTCTCATAATTTAGATCCGGATGAAATCCAAATCCGATTTTTATTTCATTTTCCTGACATGTGCATAATTTTGCCATTACGGGTCCCCATTCTTTTGAAGTTATGAATCTTATAAATGAAAAGGCTTATTTATGGTTTTTGCTTTAGTGCTCTCTACGAAGTCCTAGACCTCATAATGATTGAGCTTTTTTGTTTTTAATTTGGGGTCCGTTGTAATTTTCCATTTTCGTGTTAAAAGTGATAAAAAACGAAAATTAAGTAGAATGGGTGAAAATAAAAAATAAATTAAAAAATATGTGGATAGCATGGACAACCTTAAAAAAATGTAAAAAAAAATTCACAGAAAAGTAAACCAACAACCAAAAACTGAAAGTTATTTTCACTTCCTAATTAATTTTATCCACCACCCTATTTCTTCTTTTTCTTTATCTGAAACCATATTCTATTCTTATGAACCATATTATTTAAAATGTTGTTATTAGCACTTTAAAATGTTATTGTGCATTCCCAACTTTCTATATTTAAAAATAAATTTATCACGAATTATGAGAATTCTACGATACCTTTAAAAAAGGGTATTAATATTATTTAATTTGAACTTAGTACCAAAAAATTATAGTTAATAATATATATGTTTTTTTTATTAGCATCCCATATAATGTTGAATACATCCAACATTAAAATTTAATGTTCAATGACTTGTATGCCTTAATATGCAATGACTATTTCGACCTCATAAGATTATAAAAAAAATTAAAATAATTCTAAATACACCCCAAATAACACATCCCAATATTATTTATTTTCTTCAACTCTCAAAACCATTCCCTCTCCATTGTACGTAGAACAAAACCCTAATCAATAAAACTAGAAAGATGTTAACTGAAAAAAATTATTCATAAGAGAATCTTAATCCAAAACCAAATACACTTCACATTGATAATTGATATTCAATCAATTAATTCCAACTTTTGTCCCCATTTTCATATTCCTACTTGGGTAGTTTCCATCTTTTTGAACCTGATTCCTTCAATCAAATCAATCTTCCATACCAAATCAAGTAATCCCTTAATTAGTCTTATTAGTAGGTTGTTCGGCTCAGAGAAGCAATACAAAGGCCCTCATTTGCAAGTCTTGTTTTAAGGATATATGGTTTCCACATATTTTCCAGGAGAGCTCGGAAAGGTTGTCCCTTTCTTTTGCGTACACTTAGGTTTCGCAACATATTCCTACTTATCCTAGGTTGAAGACCAAACAAAAAGAAATGGAGGAACTGAAGCACTGGCCTTTCCTTTAAATGTTGTGACCTCAAGTTTTTAATCAAAGCAATGTTACTCTTTAATCATCATTTGGCGTGGCATGGTAGAAGAAGAATAATTGTGGCTAGTTCTTGCTGGAGAAGAGGGAGGACTAAATTTTTTTTCTTTTTTAAGATATGAAGAGTGTGGGGTATATGTAGAAAATGTGGGGTGTATGTTGAGGTGTGGGGTGTGATGGTATTATGGAAAAGTAAGTGGGGTGTATTAAGATAAATTTTAATTAAAAAAGCAAATGTGGGGTGTATTAAGGTTGTGGGGTGCATTCAACAATATGTGAGGTGTTGATAAAATAAGCCTAATATATAATGGCATTAGTAATACTATAATAAGATTGATAGTTATATTGACTACGTTCTATTACAGTGTAAAGGTAAGTTGTTATACTTGGATGTGATTGAATTACAATTCATATTTTATGATTACACCATTGACATCTAATTGCATAATAGACGTAGGTTATCATTATGGAACATATAAAATTACACTACATCTTAATGATGTTACAACAAGATGTTAACATTCAATGTTTGTAAAGTTACACTACAATCGTTCAAACTTAGCATCCAAGGTTATAATTAATTACATAAAATGACGTTGGTTTACTATAACAAGGTTGTTTTTATGGTTTACACATCATATAAAGGTTCTAAAAGATGTTAGGCGCTAGTCGGGCGGCGGGCTGGGGCCTAGCGCCTATGCGGACTAGACGGATTTAATTAAATCTACTATATTTCGTATAAATAAGTGTCTATTTATACTTAAAATATATATAATTTCATTATAAACTACAAAATAGAATGACATATATATATATATATATATATATATATATATATTATGAGCTATTGGAACATAATGAAAACATGGGGAACAAGCATATAATGTGTGTTCATTCAAGTATTCAACAAGTCTCTTACAATTTATTGAAAAAAATAAAATGTAAAATGAAAGTTATTTATTTTCTGTCTAAGTGAGTCGCAATCTAAGCGGGTGCCAATGTGGGTTTGGGCAGGTTAGGCGGGCGCCTCAGTAGGTCTTAGCGTCATTTCTTAATTTTCAAACGCCTAGGCATTAATCGGGACGGTGGCCAGCTGCCTAGCGCCTAAACGGGGCCTAGGCAGCGCTAGGCAGGGATTTTTAGAACAGGGATCATATTACACTATTAAGGAAGAAAACTATAATTGAACATTATTGCATTACAATATCAACATTCAAACTAAATGGTATTAACACCTTTATTTATTAAAGGCACCATAGACTAACTGTTTATATTATATTTCACACCAATACATATTAATCTTAGGGGTGGTTTTGATATGGACCGTATCAAAACTCTCATACCAATTATCATACCAAACTTTTGGTATTGCAAAATTGATTACATTACATGTCAAACTTTCGGTATTACCGAAGTTCAGTATGCCAAATACTTCGGTTGACATGGTATGGTAATGGTAATTACCACTTTATTTTGGACTACTTTTTTGGGTCAAAATCTGAAGAAAAAAAAATTCATCAACGCAATTCAAGGTCCACTTTTTCAAATTTTTTCATCAACTTTGTAACTAATTCATACCTTTCAGATGATTTAATCATACTTGAAGCCTGCAGGTAGCAAGCACA